TCTAGTCCTGGTTTATTCCTGGTCTAGTTCTGGTCTTGTACTGTTCTAATTCTTGTTTAGTTCCGGTTTTAATGCCAGTCTAGTCCTGATTTACTCCTGTTCTAGCCCTGGTTTAATCCTGGCCTAGTCCTGGTCTAGTCCTAGTCTAGTTCTGGTTAAATCCTGTTCTAGTTCTAGTTTAGTCCTGGTTTAATGCTAGTCTAGTCCTGGTTTACTCCTGTTCTATCAGTGGTTTAGTCCTCGCCTAGACCTGGTCTAGTCCTAGACTGATTCCTGTTTTAGTCCTGTTTTACTCCTGTTTTACTCCTGGTCTAGTCCTGGTTTAGTCCTGGTCTAGTCCTAGTCTAGTCCTAGTCTAGTCCTAGTCCAGTCTTGGTTTAGTCACTCGAGTTTAGTCCTGAGTTTGTTTTGATTCGGTGATTCTTCAGATGTAAACACACCCACAGTTCAGCAAAAACTGTGTAATTTATTTATATTTTATTTGTATAATTCTCATAAAATTTGCTTCTCTGTACCATCAAAAGCACTAAAATACACAAATTTGTAAAGTACCTTATTTTTGGATATTTAAATATAAATTTTCCAGCAGGATAAAGCCATAATAGTTGACGTTACACAGACGTCGTTGCCCTAAACTCCACTGTCAAACGCAGAAAATGCCACTTTCTGTGAAGGAGCGCTCGTCATAAATGTGCATGTAATACCACAACGTGACCACAGAGGGCACCGTTACACCACCATTACAGGAGTGAAGAGGAGGAAGAGGTACAGTAATTATGTGAAACAGAGAAGAGGGAGACAGAGACAGGGAGGAGGGAGAGCTTGAACTGTAAAAAAAAGACCAAAAGAAAGACAAAGAGGAGAAGACAGGGAGATATTCGAGTCCAGTGAAGTGAGAGGAGGGGCTTTTTGTGACCGTGACGATGACGATGATGGCACCAGTGAGGAAGCACTCGTTTAAAGCACCAAAAAACAGAAGCGGTTTTGCGGGTTTTTGCAGGTTTTTGCAGGGCACGGGCAAAGCAAGACACCAGATAAAAAAAAACGACAATGTACCTCCAAAATCCATTCACACACATTTAAAAAAAACAGAAGAGTCAACAACAACGCGACGACAGAAGCAGAGGTGAAAGTTTTTTTGGCTGATGTTTTTTGTAAACGCTGAGTACAAATGTTTGGAAAGAGCTACACCAGATTTTAATATGAAACTAATTTATAAACAGTGTTGGGAAGGTCACTTTTAAAATGTATTTCTCTACAGATTACAGATTACACACACCAAAATGTAGTTTGTAACATAATCCATTAAATTACTTAAAGTGAGTAATGTAATCTGAATACTTTGGATTACTTGATTTACTGTAGAGAAGCAAAGACGAGGATATCGTAACATAAGATGTTTTGTCTGATAAAAGAAAATAAAAAGACCAAACTTTACATAACCAAATTAAAAATATTATTGATAGAAGAGGAGGAGACAGGTCCACGCAGCAGGATTTAGTCCTGTTAAATCCTGTTTTAGTCCTGGTTTAGACCTGATTTAGATCTAGTTTAGATCTACTTTAAGCCTGGTTTTAGTCCTGGTTTAGATCTAGTTTAGGCCTGGTTTTAGTCCTGTTTTAGTCCTTGTTTAATCCTGCTTTAGTCCTGGTTTAGTCCTGGTTTAAGACCTGGTTTAGACCTGGTTTAGCTCTAGTTTAGACCTGGTTTTAGTCCTGGTTTAGTCCTGGTTTTAGATCTAGTTTAAGCCTGGTTTTAGTCCTGGTTTAGATCTAGTTTAGGCCTGGTTTTAGTCCTGTTTTAGTCCTTGTTTAGTTCTGCTTTAATCCTGGTTTAGTCCTTGTTTAAGATCTGGTTTAGACCTGGTTTAGCTCTAGTTTAGTCCTGGTTTTAGTCCTGCTTTAGTCCTGGTTTAGTCCTGGTTTAAGACCTGGTTTAGACCTGATTTAGACCTGGTTTAGCTCTAGTTTAGACCTGGTTTTAGTCCTGGTTTAGTCTTGGTTTAGTCCTGGTTTAGTCCTGGTTTTAGTCCAGGTTTAGATCTAGTTTAGATCTAGTTTAGACCTGGTTAAGATCTAGTTTAGTCCTGGTTTAGACCTGGTTTTAGACCTGGTTTAGATCTAGTTTAGACCTGGTTTTAGTCCTGGTTTAGACCTGGTTAAGATCTAATTTAGACCTGTTTAAGATCTATTTTAGACCTGGTTTAGCTCTAGTTTAGTCCTGGTTTAGACCTGGTTTAGATCTAGTATAGACCTGGTTTTAGTCCTGGTTTAGACCTGGTTAAGATCTAGTTTAGACTTGGTTTTAGTCCTGGTTTAGATCTAGTTTAGACCTGGTTTAGTTTCCAGCAATGAGTGGAATTACCGAGAAAAAGCCCAAAAAAATAAAATAATAGCCCAAAATGTGAAAACAGGAAAATCCCGCTGTGTAATCCATTTATTTCAACAAAGTAACTGTAATCCAATTACCACTCACTGAAACAGTAACTGTAACTGAATACAGTTACTCACAATTTGGACTCTGATTACGTAACTCTGGTACATGTAATCTGTTACTCACCAACACTGTTTATAACACACTAAACTGAATTAAAGTTTCTATTTTGCGAAGATTTTTCCACGTTTTAACCTGGGAATTTCTTAACGGTGTAATTCCTCATTTGTCCAGCAGGGGCGCTTCAGTGTTCAGTGTACAGAAGGTTTCAGCGGTGGTCATCTGGACGCTGTTTTTGCGATCAAGATGTTTCGGCTCTCGTCCAGGAGTCATTTTTAGTGTGATGGTTCTGGCCCGAGGCGCTGGGAAAGAACCAGAACACCAAATCAAATCCAAAATCCAAAATCCATCAAATCCAAAACGACTCCTGGATGCGAGCCGGAACATCTTGATCGCAAAAACAGCGTCCAGATGACCACCGCTGAAACCTTCTCTGCACTCCTGCTCTTGTTGTACTGATTTAAAGGTTTTGTCTTGATAGTTCTGGCCAGGGGGAAGCTCTTTATATTTTCATTCTTATCGTTTGCCAGAGGTGGGACCAAGTCGTTGTTTTGCAAGTCTCAAGTCCGAGTCAAGTCCCAAGTCAAACACAGGCAAGTCCAGGTCGAGTCTCGAGTCACTGGCCCATAAGTCCAAGTCAAGTCCAAGTCGTCTGCTTTGAGCTTCAAGTCATTTCAAGTCTTTAAACCAAAAAAGTACCAAATATAACTTAGATTTTTGCAATTTATATAACTTTTAAACTAAATTATACTTAAAAAATCATGGTATATTTATATATCAGTATTTATATAAGAGTTGTAGAAATTTAAATGTCTTGACAAGATCTTACTGTGAATCATTACGATCAGAATAGAAAGAAATCAGATTTAAAAGAAATTAATAAAAGTTATTTTTTTGTGAAATGGAAGGATCATGTTCTGTGTACTTCCCTCTGTTTTACTTTATTGTACTGTGTATTACTGTAGTACATTTGAGGATACCACATCACAGTACTTCAGTTCCATCCAAAGTAACAAACAGAAATGGGAGGGACATGTTCCAGTTTGTTCTTATAAAATTAAGTGCCGCATTGATCAACTGTAAGGATAAAAGTATTTTCAAAAAACATCGATTTTTTAGGAGAAGCATCAAGACTGGAGTCAAAGGCCTCAGAGTCGAGTCCCACGTTTTTGACCTTCAAGTCCCAAAGTCGAGTCCCAAGTCACTGACCTTCGTGTCCCAAGTCGAAGTCCCAAGTCACTGACCTTCGTGTCCCAAGTCGAAGTCCCAAGTCACTGACCTTCGAGTCCAAGTCCAGTCCCAAGTCACTGACCTTCGAGTCCAAGTCCAGTCCCAAGTCACTGACCTTCGAGTCCCAAGTCACTGACCTTCGAGTCCAAGTCCAGTCCCAAGTCACTGACCTTCGAGTCCCAAGTCGAGTCCCAAGTCACTGACCTTCGAGTCCAAGTCCAGTCCCAAGTCACTGACCTTCGAGTCCCAAGTCGAGTCCCAAGTCACTGACCTTCGAGTCCCAAGTCCAGTCCCAAGTCACTGACCTTCCAGTCCAAGTCCAGTCCCAAGTCACTGACCTTCGAGTCTAAAGTCGAGTCCCAAGTCACTGACCTTCGAGTCCAAGTCCAGTCCCAAGTCACTGACCTTCGTGTCCCAAGTCGAGTCCCAAGTCACTGACCTTCGAGTCCAAGTCCAGTCCCAAGTCTTAGTCCATTTTATCAAGTCAAAGTCTCAAAGTCCTAAAAATAGTGACTCCAAGTCTGACTTCGAGTCCAGGTCACGACTTACAATTCCCCACCTCTGTCATTTACTATTATTTAATTACATTTATATCTAGAGATGTCATCAACATAATAATAGTAAATATTAATAATAGTTTTAATTAGAATAAGAGTCTTTACAATGTTTAATTAAGTTATAACGCTGCTTTGGAAGTAAGAAAATCAGGAGTAAAACGATTTAGCAAATTTTCAACATCTCGACTATTCGATTATTTGCCCAGCCCAATTCCGAAGACTCCAAACATGAAGCTTAAGGATCTTGTAATGAAAGTCTTATTCTAGATTAAATCATTTGCCTCAAGTAAGTGGAAAACATTTGTACTTTTTTATTGGTTAATCTAATATTGTGAATATTAAACACTTCTATTAATGATCTTGACTCTTTTCACCTCTGCAAACACGAACCACACGGACTCAGACTCTCTCAACACATATAAAAACACAGAAAACCTCCACAGCCCGACCACACCACACCCACCAAAACCACACCAAACCAAACCAAACCAAACCAAACCAAACCACAGCACACCAAAAAAACCACCACATCTGTATCGGCACAACTGTGGACATGCTGCAGCGGACAACAGCGAGGAGCCAACGACCACCACAAGAAGCCAGAGTCTGGGGGTCCATGTATGCGGCTGGAGGAGGGGGGGGGTGTGGGTGGACGGAGGGGGGGGGCGAGGGGTTGGGGGTATGAGGGAGGGGGAGGCGGGCGTTACCGTCGGCGCGTACCATTGGTCTTACCACAGGGGGGTGGGAGGAGGAAGAGTGGGACGAATCAGCTGGCTTTAAGGAAAGGCACACAGATCAGCACCAGCGCAGACTGTGGGGTGTGTTTGTGTATGTATGTGTATGGTGTTTTTTGTTTATATTGGACTACTTAGATATCAGACTGATTACGTTATAAGTTTAAAGTTGAGTAATTTGAATGTCAGTCTTCATTATGTTTTTATTAGACTAGAATAGATTTTTTTGGTCTGCTCTACCCACCTCTCGGTCGAACTACGGCGAACGATAAAAGTTTGGAGTAACTTTTTGAGCAAAGTCACCTTAAGAGAATTAGTATTTGATGGGCTCATGTACTTTTTACTCATTTTGCACCAAATGGGGAAGCAGTTAACGACTTTTTAGTGCAATTTTAGAGCAGCCTGATAACAATTTAATTCAAAAACACTGCAAGAAATGTTTGTATATAGAGTCTAATTTGGTTATTTTAAAGGTACTTTGCATAACTTACGCCGTGTTATTGCTTTGCTGAGAATGTTCCACAGTATGGCATTACACATGTCTATCTCGAGTTACGATTATCAGATCTGTGGAGAGGCGTGGAGGGGCCTGTCCACACTACAACGTTTTTTTTGGTCGAAACGGTGAAGTTTTTATTCGTTTTGGGCTTTCGTCCACATGGAGGCGGTGTTTTGGGTGGGCGAAAACTTTTTTTTTTTGAGACGTGTTTTAGAGACGGGTTTTTTGAGAACGGGTTCCAGAGTGGAGAAATTTGAGAACGTCGGAGTTGCGTTGTCATGTGGACAAGCAAATGTCTGCAGCTTTTGGAAAACGATGACGTTGCGAGTCCGTCATCTCCAGGGTCCCTCGATGCGGCGAAGGCTACAGCGCTTAGTGTCGCTGCCGCAGACCACAAGACCGTTGCCAAAATGTGACAGGTGTAGCATACGGAGCCGCTTCTGTCGCCCAGGAACCAAGACACTAATGCTAACAACAGAATACGCACAAGGATCAATAAGAAATATTACTCACAAGTAATTAAACTGTTGGATTTCGAGATCAAGTTATTCTAATAATTCTCATCCAAATCTTATGGCTAAAAACGAAAACTTATGTTTAATTTTTGCAAAACAAAACAGCTATATTTCTGGGATACATCTAAAATCGGCTAAATTACCTTAAAGTAAAAAAAAAATGTGATGAGATTCGCATTATTAAATATTATTATCATTGTTAACAGCGCCACATACAGGTGGGGCATATGCATTACATTGTTTTCACTCCGTTGTCGTCTGGACGTGAATATTTATTGATCCGACACCGGTGTGTGGGCGCAAATTTTTTTCAACCCGCAAAAAAAATAAAAAATAAAAATAAAAATCCAGGAGTGTTGTCGTGTGGACGTAGCCTACGGGCATGTTTTTCCAATGCAATTTTTAAGCAATAAATAAATTTTACTAGACTGGTTAATGCCATACTGTGGAACATTCCAAGCAGAGCAACTAACTAATTACAGAGTGTACCTTTATTTTATAGATTTGTTAAACTAGAGGTATAATTACAAAAGCATTTAAGTGTATTGTTTAGAATAGAACATAAATTAGTATACAGAATTGTTCACTTTTGGTTTCTATTTAACAGTTATTTAAGCCTACGTTTTAATTTAACTGTAGTATTATTAAAATTCCATGTATCTGAGTCATTGTATTTTGAAGCGGCACAAATACTTGGACTATTTTTAGCGTCTCTGTCCACCTTTGGGATCTATAGGTCTCACAAAGGTGAATACAATTTCAAAGAGCGGCAGGAGTGAGTGAATGAAACCACTGAGAGACTGAACCATGTTAGACGTGAAGGATATTGGGGGAGATTTCAGTCTTTTTGCCTAAAGGGACAAAATAATGAATGAAGTCCGGGGCGTCCGCAGAGGTGAGAGAGGACGGCTACGTGTAAGTGCAAGATTCATATTTAATGACATTGTGAGTTCAGGGCTGCACCATAGAACATTCCTGATTAACATTCCAAACACTTCCTTATATCTGACTAAAAGGAGGAGCTAACTACACTGAAACTACTCTGAAACTAACACACCTACTTGTTTACAGTTTCTGGGTCATATTTACACAGGAGTCACCAAACTTTTTTTTTTTTCTGGGGGTCACGTTATTGTTCCTGACTGTGACGGGGGCCGGGGAATCCGTGTTTCATTTGTTAATTCATTTTTCAAAATAAAACAAAAAATAAGAAAACGAAAAAACAACATTTTTCTTCATTATTTGTCTCCAAAACCAAAATGAAAAAACAGATAACGATTTGTTTTTTTCAGATTTCGATTTTGTGTTTAAATGAAAAATGGAAAAAATGGATAACGGCCGTTTCCCGTTTACGTGACTTCTGTGACTGCGATGCCGGACTTTTGCGCTGCATACGGACTGAACCAGGACTGAGCCAGGTCCGGGACCAAGACCGGGACCAGACCGGACTCCGAGCTTTGACTCTGAGTCTCCGCGGCCCTGCCTTGGGCTCTGAACCTCTGGTCTGGTCCTGGTCTCAGTCCCGCTCTGGTCCCGGTCTGGTCTCGGTCTCAGTCCCGCTCTGGTTCCGGTCTGGTCTTGGTCTAAGTCCCGCTCTGGTCCCGGTCTGGTCTCGGTCACAGTCCTGCTCTGGTCAAGGTCTGGTCCCGGCCTGGTCCTGGTCTCGTCTCTGTCTCAGTCCCGCTCTGGTCTCAGTCCTGATCTCAGTCTCGGTCTGGTCCCAGTCTCAGTCCTGATCTCAGTTTCGGTCTGATCCCTGTCTGGTCTCGGTTTCAGTCCCGCTCTGTTCCCGGTTTGGTCTCAGTCTTGGTCTGGTCCCAGTCTGGTCCTGGTCTGGTCTCAGTATCGGTCTGATCCCTGTCTGGTCTCAGTCTTGTCCCGGTCTCAGTCCCACTCTAGTCCCAGTCTGGTCCTGGTCTCAGCCCCGCTCTGGTCCTGGTCTGGTTCTGGTGTGGTCCCGGACCTGGATCAGTCCTGGTTTCAGTCCGTATGCAGCGCAAAAGTCCGGCATTGCATGCGTCGACTGTCACTGTTTGATCTTGAGCTTGTCAGGTGATGAAAATTTGGATGCAAATGTAAATACATCATATAATTATTTTAATATAAATATAAATTAATTAATTGAAAAAATCAACAAAATACAAGATGCAGACATGTTATTATTCGCCAAAAAGTAATTTCAAAAATAGGCCATGACAACTTTTGAGGATTGCCTCTTAGGGCCAGTTCGAGTGGTGTGGGGCAGAGGGGCCGGTCAAAGGGGTGTGGACGGCCGGAGTCAGCCCGCGGGCCTTAGTTTGATGACCCCTGTATTAGCAAAACCATTCAGGTCCATAATGAATGTTTTCATACCTCTGGCCCTGACCTGGCTCCCCCTATTTTTCTCTTTGTTTTAGGTTTGAAGATAGGAGATAAATGACGTCTGAGGCCTCCATTTCTGTTCAAAAAGGATCGTCTTTCTTAACAAATATAGCTTCTTTAACTCCCCTCTCAAACTAATTCTTTTCTCTGGCTCAGATCTGTACCTCACTGTCCTCAAAAGAGTGACCCGAGACTTTTAAATGGAGATTTACATCAGACTGTGGTCCTGTGTTGCTCTCTCGTCTGTATTGGTACATCCTCTTTCAGTCTTCAGACCAAATTGCTTTGTTTGTGGCTTGTTTTTTTTGTCCTTTTCACAAGCTGACAAAATGAATTTCTCCTTTGCCATGGATTCTACACGTTACTATTAAATTTATTTATTTTTGGTATTTATGGTACAGCCCTAATTTTGAGTATAATATGTTTGTTGCGTCGCTGCCCCATCTGTTCATCTTCAGCATCTTAAGATTAACTTACTCAAAACATCTTTACACTTTCAGCAAGACTAGTTCAAGATGTTTTTTTCCGTAAATCCAAGCTTCGAAGACGAACAAGATAACAGAACAGCGCCGCGTGTTGGTCATTACTGGTACTGCGGCGATGACATGAGAGTGACAAATTAACTAGCAATGGAATCCGTTCACTCCGCTTTGCCATAGCCCCTGTTCAAACGCTTCTGGTACAATTTGATGGATCATTACTTCCAATCTTAGACGAAGACGCTAAAACGGCACAACTAGTTTTGTAATATCCGACGTTTAAGATTGAAAAGAAACGATTAGGTTCAGGAATGAGTGAACCAGCTGATACAGAAGGGTTTGACGGGGCTATTCGCAATCGCTGCAGTGACAATAACATGGAGTAAATATAATAAATGGTCTTATTGATATGCTAATTTAGAGGTATGAATGCAGTCGTGTAGCTGGTATTGAATACACGTTATAGAAAAGTCAATGGGAAGGACGAGGACAAAACAAAAGGATGATAAGTAGAAAGTATAATAAGGAAGAAGGGAAGGAGGTAGGAAACAAGTGGAGCGAAAAGGTGACTAAAATAAAGTTTAGAATGGTTTGCAGACTGTTTTTTTAAAGTTAACAATTGATACTTTGCAGCTGATATCACCAACATTACCCGGGGTGTGACGCTAACTGTAGGCACGCGCCGTCTGAGGCTTTGTTAGACTTTAATCTGAGCTTTATTTTAACACAATCTGACCAGAAACAACTGATTTAGCCGCAACTACAACAGTGATCTCAAACAAGTCTCAAGTTTTTCATTTTCGTTTAGGACCATGAACAGTTTTCTTGTGTTTTCAGATCTTAAAACGTATTTGACAGTGTTTTCTAATGTGTGCGTTGTGTCTCCACGGTAACGCATGGAGAGATGTCATTATTTTAATTTAATTTACTGTGGTCCAAAGCATGAAAAATTATCTGACGAGGGCGTTTTGCTGATACGTTATTTTGGACATCGGTCATCTAAGTGATCAATGTATTTTTTCACTTTTAAATTGCTGTTCCCTGCTGTTCTCTTTCATTTAATGTCATTATTTTTGTCTGGAATTTTCCACAGTATGGCATTAAACGCAGTGTTGGGAGTAATGCATGATTCCGAATGTCGGGACGGTCCCAAGCACAGCTGACGCCCTATCGTGCTTTGCGGACA